GGGGGGGGGGTCAAAATCCGACTCAGGAGGGCAATACAGAAACACACCTGGCTGAACCACCTTAGCCACACTCGCCAACAAAAGAAGGCTTTGCCCGGTGCCTGGTTCTCCCAGGTGGCTCAGGATTCTTGGAGATGGGAGGTGGGAGGATGTAGCACAGCTATTTACTGGGCCTTCTTCAAACCCCACACCCACACGGCGGTACTGCAGAGAAGCCAAGATCACGAGCTTTGCAGTACGATAACCCTGGGCTCAAGTTCCAGGTCTAACATTTGCTGTGCCATCTTGGACAGCTCACGTACCCTCTCTGCATCTTGCTGCCTGGCGGAGCTGCGAAAGGATTTAAAAGCACAGCACTAGGTCAATTAGCTGGTCCTGGGGAGACACAGAAGACAAAAATAGAACAGAGAACACCCAGATCTCTTCCTTCACACGCTCAGATGCGTCTTCTGCCTCTCTCGTTCACGCCACAAATGTTCGCTGAGCCCCTGCCGTGTGTCTGGCGCTGTTCCAGGCCCTAGGGCTACCCCATGAACACACCAGCACATCGCGGTATTTTCATTTTGGGCGAGAGGAGGTCAGTTCATGGATAAATGAATTAAACAAATAACTAGGTGAGACACATCGTGTGTCAGATGGTGGTAAGTGCTCTAGAGAGACATAAAACAAGAAGAAAGGAAAGGAGGTCTGGCTGAATGGGAGGGGTGTGATTTTAAATAGTGTGTTCAGGGGAGACCTCACAGAGAAAGTGACACCAAATCAAGGCCAGAAGGAGGAGCTGGAAGAACATTCTAGACCGAGGGAGGAGGCTCTTAACTCCAAGACTCCGAATTCACCTGGTGGGGTGGGGAGTGCAGCGTTCCCCGGGGCCTCCAAATGGTATTATTATAGTGCTGAGCACACAGCAAGTGCCAAATAAAGACGTCCTGAAGGGTGATTTTTCAAACTGCCATTTCCAGAAGGTCCCAGTTGCTGATAATACAATATGGGCTGTTTAAACATGCAACGCTCAACCCTGTCGTCGTGCCGCTGCCACCCCCGAGGCCCCCAACCCTGGGAGCCTCCTTGTAGCACACCTCATTACGAAACAGGTGAGCAGGGCTCCTGGGACCTTCTCTGTAATTAGGGCAGGATCGAAGCAAGGGCTATATTTATAACCCCCAGCCGTCGGCAAGCCACGGAGACAGGGAGCAGGTCCCCGTGCAGCTCCTATACCAACATCTATATGTGAACTGATTACAACAATTAATTTAATAGGGATTCCTCCACACAAACAATGTATCATTTTATTAGGAAACTCTATAAATGTCAGTGGTGCAATTCATTTTTATTAATTTTCTAAAATGAAATTAGCAGTGGCGGCCGCGGTGGCAAACAGAAGTTGCATTGCCTTCTCATTCAGCAGAGTATTGGTGTCATTAATTCCTCAGTACCAGGAGGCCGGTTTGTATGAACTCAGCAGTTAACTGCACCAATTAATTTCAATACTGGAGATGGGAGGGGGGGATCCAAACTCAACTCAACAACTAATTTAGGAAAGTCCTCTAACAACCACAGCAACTCTTCCTCCTCCTGGGACGAGAAGCTTTCAAGTGTAAACACGGAGTGGAGATTATAATACTAATAGGAAATGTTCTGTCTGCACCCTCTGCCTTTAGGAAATAAATTCATCTTTCCAAAGCCCGGAGAAATGCTGGCAGATGTCTCCTGAAGTTGTGGCCTCCAGCAGGCCCGGGGAGCGCCCCTCGCAGACAAGAGGGACAGTGATGTCCCTGTGCATCGACACTGAGGCTCACGGCAGGCGGGATCACAAACATGAGCCCATGAGATCCTCGTGATGGCCCAGTGATGACAGGACCACCATCGACTCCATTTCGCACGTGAAGAAGGAAAGTGGAGCTTTTAATGAGGGGCTAAAATGACTTTCTAAAAGTCACCAAGTGACTGAGTGACAGGGCCAGGACTCAAAGCCAAATTTGTCAATATCTGAAACCCACATTCCCTCCCTGCTGCATGCACGCCCCGTGTGCCTGGGGATGGGAAGTCTCCTGGCTCTATTTATACTCCAGAAAGTCAAGTGAGTCAGGCACGACCGTGAGTGACAGTCACTTCTCAACTGAAACCCAAACTCCGAAGGCTGAAGCACGAGGCAAACTCCCCGCTTGAAATGTTCTACTGATCTGCCGTCACAGGGTGTTCTGAAGCACAGCACGTGTCTGCGGATCTGAAATCAGATGTCTGGCCCGGGACGCGTTCCAGAGGATCTCACTCTCTGGCTAAAGAGAAGCTCTTTCTTTCCTTCCACTTACGTTCAAGGAGGGTTTTGCTGAGGGATGAAGGGCGTGCAGGGAAGCTGCAGGCTGCTTGAGATGAGGGCACTGTCTGGGGTCAGGAAACGGTGCAGAGACAGAAATCGGACAGGCTTCCTTCCCCCCCAAAGAAACTAGGGCAGGGCTTCTCAAAGTGGGGCCCCAGACTGGCTGCATCCCATCACCTAGCAGCGTGTTACAAGTAACAGGTCCCCAGGCCCCACACCAGGGCTATGGAGTCAGGAACTCTGGGGATTGGGTCCTAGCGCGTGGATTTTTTAGCAAGCTCTCCGGCTGATTCCGGTGCCCTCTCAAGTTTGGGAATGTCTGCCCAAAAGATGCCCCCAGAAGAAAGGATAGATGAGCGTTCCCAGCTTTCCACAGCTGGGGACACGGCTACGCTCACCAAACAGTAGACTGTGCCCCGTTCAGTCTCCTCTCTGCCCCCACCCACGCTCCATGCAAGGATGTCCTCCCTGACCCTGTTCTTATTGGGCTTGGCCATGGGAATGGCCTTGACTCAGGGATCCGTGAGGTATGATACCACACCCAACAGAGATCGTCAGTCTGCCCGCATGGATTGCCTTAGGCTTTCAAGGCTCTGCCACACCCCATGACCATACGTCCCAGACTACGGATGCTTCCTCAGCCCGGGGCCTGGAACAGAAGGACACATGGAACCGTCCTAAACCCAACCAAAGCCACAGCCAATCCACAGACCCATAAGCAGGAAAAAAAAAAAAAAAAAAAAAAAAAAAAAAAAAAAAAACAGTCTGTTGTTCCAAGTCACTAAGTTTGGAGATTATTTCTCAGATAGCATGATCCCAGCAAAAGCTGACTGATGCAAACCATTTAATTTTATAGCAAAGGAAATCACAGCCCCAGAAAGCTGAGCAGTTGAGGACATCCTGCAGGGGGATTCAGGCTGAAAGGTGAGAAAAAAAAAAATCAGAGCCAACTTCTAGCCCCACCTGTGGAGACACGAATCTCAGAACTAACCTCTCCCCTCTGCATCCTCTGACCTCCTCCGAAATGGACATTTTTGTCCTCATCTAAATGATGCTAAGCGGTAAAACCTAATCCTAATAAAGTAATAGCTTAAAGTACCTTCTAGAATGAGTAAACGTTCTAGAGGATAAGACCCTCTTTCCTCCATGGCTCAGAAACAAGAGTATCAAGGAACCGGCCGAGGGGACAGAGGACACACCTCTGCCCCTTTCCCTGGTCTGTTAACTTTCCTGCAGAATCTGGTGCTTCTGCCCAAAGTGAAACAGACTGAGCCTTCTGCCTCTTCAGCCGAACCCAGAGCCCAGCCACCGTGTGAGCCACACTCTGGCTAACACTCATCACTCTGACAAACGCCCGGCCCCGTCACCACTGATGGAACAGGGGTGGCAGCTGATGGCCACATACTCCCAAAGCTCTACACTGTAACGTACCAAAAATAAAAACTGAGAGAGCAGGAAAGAAGAGCCTCCCTTTTAAACGACCCGGCGCCCCAACTTCACTGTTCTCCACAAAGCAGTTATCACCTGTGCTGCAGAACACAGAGCAGCTGAGTCTCCACCAATTCCCCGTCCCCAAGTGGCGAGGAAGTTCGGCGTCTGTGGCAGTCGGTAGGTTCAAGCACATTTGCTACGCAACACACTGCAAACCTAGTCATTGCTTCTGATCTGGGAGATCTTCTTACCACCGCCAAGAATAGCTTGACTCTCAGTTTGTAAGACACGTTGAGATGAGAGTGGACAGTTAAGGTAGTTTCCCTTTTAGAGAGCGAGTTTCTAGAGAACACTGGTGGCAGGTGGGCACTTTCCCAAAATAAACTTCCCCTGATGTTCCCGCCTGCCGAGGCCTTCAAAGCCGCCGGCTGGGGGGACACGGCGTTCAGCCATCAGGTTAAAAGTTCCAACTCTGTCTGACGGCAGCCGTGCTTTTAGCGGATTGCGTCCACTGCCACGATCTTAGGTCAATTAACGAGACCTCAGTGTCACAAGCTACCAAAGGCAACGGGGTATGTTCAACTTGCCCATGAACTGACTGGCCAAACCAGGTAATCAATGAAAATCAATCCACTCACTGTACATAGTCGAAAAACTGCAAGATCTGGGACGTTACCTTGTCTTAGGGGATGTGGTTAGCCATTCTTCGTGTTTCTCAAATGTTATTAAATAAGCTGCAATTTCCTGCAACAGAAGAATAAAAAAATAATAACAACAATTAGCTCACATCGGCTCCTGAGAGGTAAGAAAGTTCTTGTTGCTTCCCAGCTGCTGCCTCCCTGGCGAGGCTGCCCCCCCCGCCCATCTCTGCTGGAAAACACTTGACTCGGATGGTGCTTCTATTTTGATTTCGTTAAGCCCTTTCCATTCAACCTGCCATACAATAATAATCAAAGCACTGGGTTTCAAAAGATGAGTCGGTGACAAGGACAAAGATATTTCTCTGTGGGAGCGAAACATCAGACACCATTTCAGATACTGAATGTCATTAATTTGAAGGAGGGACAAACACATGCCCAACAACAGGTCTGCACTCATACAAGGTCATCATTGGAAAGTTTCGTCTGCCTCCTTCCGAAGCCGTACTAATCTTTCATCATTGTCACGAGAGACGTCAGGTTCTCTCAGCTTGATTCCCACCCCCACCCCCAGCCCCGAGCCAAATCACACAAAGATTAAAAAGAAAAGATAAAGCCATATGCCAGAGAAAGAGAGAGAGAGGTTAACCTTTCCCTCTACTGATAACTTAATCTATTGAGCGGCGCTTCAGAGAGAAGAGCTATGTCAGCAGAGTTTAAGGCAAAGATGGAGAAAATGTGGGCACCTAAAGGTAAATTAAATATTTATAAACACAACAACATCACTGCAGATAGAATTACTGATTTATTAATAATTTCCATAAAAAGCCAGTGGGTGACATCAACATAAGTCATTGCTCTGGCTCTGGGGCATGATATGGCCCATTACTTCCAGCTCCAAACAGATCTGCTAACATGAAATTGGCAGGGATTGGAAGTTAAATTAAGGCTGGACTAGTACACATTTCCCTTGATCTTGGTGATGAGACAGCACGGAGCTGCGGCCCTCGACAATGAAAACATGCAGAGAGGGAGTCTTCATCTCGAATTTCTCTGCAGCCAGGGTTCCCAGAGGGCTCGTGATGATGCAACAGCCCAGCCAGCCAGAGGCTCGCACCCTTCCTCTGTAGTTAGCCTCCTCTGGGCCTGGATATAACGGGGCTGACACCTGTGACCAGAGATGCTAAACCCACCCTTGAAGAAAAAGAAAAGACTCAACAAAACTGTTAGCAGAGCAGGTTAAAGTAGAAAACGCCACCCACGGCATGCGGTTTGAAGGCCACAGACTCAGGTGGAGATCAGGGTCTCATAGATCATGGACATCAGCCACTACCACCAGGTGGCCAGTGACTGGTAACCCAGAGTCCACACCACCTCTCTCTGGAACCCTGGACCTTTCACCAAGCACCTGGGAAGTGGAAACCCATGGACAAAAGAGAGCTGCCTCATTGCCCGTGTTCCTGTCATTGAGGGCAGCTAAAGACACTGACCAACCAGCACGTGCTTCTCTCTCATCTCTGAGCCTGCTCTGTTTCATGCTCCATTTCCTCTCCTTAGAAAACACCTATGAGGCCTCACCAGAGCAAACACCACTCCCTTTGGCCCTCCTAACTATTCATGGCAGGGTCGGTTGCCCATCCCGTGCTCTCCCATGGCACCACACCATCCTCCATTGCATATGATTTATCGCTTGGCATCCTAATTACTTGTTTACTTGAATAGCATCCCCCACTGGATCATGAGCTCCTCAAGGGCAAGGAATATGTCATCACTGATGTATCCCCAGGACCTAACAGTGTCCTGACAAACGTTTATTAGGCAGATGGATGGACGGGTGGGGAGATGGGAGGGAAGGAAGAAGGAGGGGCATGATGGAAATAAACGTGCATGTAGAAGTGAGGACGTGTGTCTGTGTGCACAACTTCTGAGTGTGTTGTGTGTCTGTATGGGTTTATTACTAGGCGAAGCGATAGCTTAAAAACAGCAAAACGCAGCAGTTCCTAAGTGAACCTTTACCTGGCTTTAATTAGCTGCAAGCCACAGGAGGAAGGTGTGCTGTAGTTAAGCTATGGAAGCACACAGACCTGGCTTTGGGTGCTGGCTCTGACACTTGTTAGCTGTCTGATCTTGAGAACGTTGCTTACCCTGTAGAAGCAGTTTTCTGTGAAACTGAGGTAATACCACCTCATGAAGCAACAATTCTTAATACACTGACTAGCATATAGCAATGCCCCAGAACCACAGCTACCATTATTATCATCATAAGATCGACATGATGTGAGCTGCCCATCTAGAGGCCCCTGATGAGGTAGCAGGTACCAAAATGGTCCAGCTTGGAAGCTGCCAGCACTGCTGGACTTACCTTCATCGATGTACACCCTCCATCCTTCTCCACCCCCTATGCCCGCAGGAATGATAGCATCACAGGGACTGTTGAGAGTTAGTTGGAGCCGACCCCTCCATTTATCTATGGGTGTCCAGTTGGTTTCACAAAACACGGAGAGCAGACAGTGGCCGGAGTCAATGAATGGATAAATTGAACCGCTTATGAGCATCAGCCCAACTACCTGAATTTCAGAAAACTTGGCATCCAGAAAACTAGCCTGTGCCAACTGGAATACCCCTGGGATCCATGTCCCTACCCAGGACCATGCTGAGAGCTAAGTGCCCCCTACTGGCCCAGAAGGGATGGGGGCACGGTGCATCCCAACCACCTGGAGACTTACCACAGTGTTCCACAGACGCAGACACCCAAAGAAGACCTTCGTGAACATCTCTTGGCCAACACTCACCCCAATCCGGCAGCGCTGCCCCTACTGCTACTGTCCTTCAAAAAAATAAACTCCTTGGACCACTTATTGCCTTCAACATTTACTCTACAAATATTTACTGAGCATCTGTTGTGCACCAGTCAGTGAACAAGACCACTCTGAACCCTGCTCTTTAAAAAAAATATATTTATTTATTTATTTGTTTATTTATTTTGAAAGAAAGAGAGAGAGAACACAAGTTGAGGAGGGGCAGAGAGAGAGGGAAAGAGAGAATCCCAAGTAGGCTCTGCAGTATCAGCACAGAACCCAAGTTGGGGCTTAATCCTATGAACCAGGAGATCTCGACCTGAGCCAAAATCAACAGTCGGACGCTTAACCGACTGAGCCACCCAGGAGCCCCCTGAAGCCTACTCTTGAAGAACTCATGGTCAGGTAGATGACAGAGATAATTCAACATGATGGGGCAGCATCAGCACCATTACAGAGTCACCTGTCCAGTCAAGTCTGTAGCCAGACCCAGTGGGGGCTCCGTGTAGACCATCTCAGGTCTACTGAGCTGCTGTGCAAGCAAGCCAAGCCATAGGAAGTCACAGTGATTTATGAACTACCTTTGAGCACAGGCCACTGCTTCCTCCACCCCAAGACAACAGTACCTCCCACACAGAGCCCCTTGGTGGAGCATTCGTCCCACTTAAGGTTAGCCTTTCTGAGCAAAGGAAACTGAATGCCTAGACCCAGGTACTTGCCTCTGTGGTGCTCAAGTGGCCAGGCACTGGAGCTGAAGTCAGCCACCAACGAATGTCACCATGTTGCTGTCTGGCTTCCAGCTGGACTGGGCGTGTCTGAGTTACCTGTCTACTCCCAGTCCCATGCTGCCTAGTGGCATAGCCCATTTCCCTGGCCCAGGTCTTGGTCCACCTCATCACCAAATGGGAAGACCATGGGGGCAGACTTACTGTCCCAAAGCTAAGAACATCTTGGGGAAATGGATGTGCATATGCCAAAGAAGTGCACAGAATAGTAGGTGCTAAAGAGTGTAGAGCAAAGAAAGAACCATCAAAATTCAGAGTAAGGACAGTCAGCTTGGCCAGGGCAGGGGATGGTTTGGGGGGGAAACAGAGGCTTCTCATCAGTAGCATCGTTACTATCATCACAATGGCTAACATTAGTAGAATGATGTCTGAGGCCAGGTACTGCTCTAGGACTTTGTGGTGGAGAACCTTGCTTAACCTTCATAACAAACCATGGAGCAGGAACCATACCCATTTTATAGGTCAGAAAACTGAGGCACAGAGCAGTTAAGTGGCTTGCCCAAGATCACATGGCTAGTCTCTGTGGAACGAGAACCCAAACCAATGTGGAATGGTTCCAGAGCCTACACTCTCCACTGCTGTTCTGAATTTCTTACGATGTGCTCAGGAAAAAAGGAAGCCTGCATGCGGAGAGTCACCTTTTCTCTGACATGGTTTACAGCCTCCTGCTCCCCAATGACCTGAAGGCACTTCACAGCCCCACCACCCTTCGGAGGACCAGGGAAAGCCAGGCTGAACATCCATCAGTGGGATTCTCTCCTTCCAGCACGATCAGGTTCATTTCCACCCAAAAACCCTTGTATGATTCATGGGACCATCTATACTTCATTGACAGTGAGAATCCCTTATATTCAGACACTATTGACTTAAAATATCTTACAATGCAGAGAAAGCCAACAGGCAAGAAGAGAGACATTCGAAGCTGAGGAAAGAGGTTTAAAAAAAAAAAAGATCTTCAGCCCAACTATCTGGTCTTTCCCTCTTTCCCCAAAGCTCCATCAACCTAGGCAAGTGGAAACAGATACGGTCTACCTCATTTTTACAGAGCAGGAAACTAAGGCACAGAGAAGGGAAGCGACTTCCCCAAGGTCAACATCTGTGGCTGAGCCAAGCTGGGAACCAGGGCTCCTCACTCACGGTGCGTGCATGGTCTCGTTGGCTCTCAAACTCAAATATGGCCCAGGAAATTCATGGAGCACTCACCAAGAAGAGAGCTTGCCCCAGAGAAGTGAAAACAGGAGCTCAAACGAAATTGTATACGTGAATGTTCAAAGCAGCATTATGCACAATCACCAAAAGGTGGGAGGACCCCAACGTCCATCACAATATGGATGGATAAACAAAATGTGAGACGTCCACACCGCAGAAGGCTGTTCAGTCATAAAAAGGAATAAAGGTCTGATACACGGATGAACCTTGAAAACTTGCCGAGGGAAAGAAGCCAGGGGCAAAGGCCACATACTGTAGGATTCCATTGGTATTAAATGTTCAGGACAGACAGATCCATAGGATTGGCAGCTGCC